TTTTTTTTTTTTTACAAAGTTTATCAAAATCAAATCATTAAACTTAATTATTTTAAAAAATTTATTTTTTAAATCTCGAACCCTCATTTAAATAAAATCTCTAACCTAACTTTTAAGCTCGATACTTATTTTTGACTCTAGGTCTAATCAATAAAAATATGACATTCAAATATAATTAAATATAAATTGATTATAATATTAATTATAGTAGAGGGACAAAGCAAAAAAAAATTAAATATGTATTATAAAATCAACTAAAATAATGTCATGTATGATTTTTTTCAAATAACTTGGGGGATTTTAGCTGGATAAATTATAAATGATGTGATACATTTGATCTACTTAAAAATTTCTCTCTCAGAGAGAGATAGGGTAGAGATTAATTAACTCTCACACAGATTAATGCAAATCTCTATGTAACTATAACATATATATATATATACATACATACATGCATTGCATGCATGAATGCATACATACATACATACATATATATATATATATATACATATATGTGTGTGTGTGCGCACGTTTTTCTTAAAGGTGTGCCCTTAAGGCTTTAGATTGTGACTTAAAGGTATTTTTTGCTGGCTACATGTTCATTATATTAATTGTCCATGCACCCTCATTCGATAACAAAAAAGGCCCAAGTTAGTTTGTTTATCTCTTACTTTGTTTTGCTGGTTATGTATTGGCTACATTTATATATGAATAAACAAATAGTATTCTGCTGTCATATTACACAAATGAATGACTCATTCAGACGTTGAAGATGCTGATCTTTAGAAAGAATTACATCCCCTGTTTTGTTGCTCTGCTTACACTTTGATGTAACTTTTATATGTTGTAGTCAATACCAGATTATATGTTCCTTCGTAGGGGTGACCAACATTAAATATCATTCAATGTTGTTTTTGTCACACAATGAAACCCATTCTTCTATACATGTTCAGGAAAAAAGGCACAATCAAATACATTATTTTTTCTACTAAATTTCATCACTTAGAATATATCTCTTGGTGTTTAAAAATGAATGTTCCTAGAACTCAAGGCTTGCCCCTTTCACTTGCAGAGCAGCTTGAAGATTTCCAAGAGTTTGAAGCAGGAAACGTGTTAGAGGAATGATGGAAATAATGAATTAGAAGCGTAAATTGAAATAATTAAGCGAAGAAATTTGGTGAGGAATTAAATATTCTTCCTTTCATATTTGTCATTGTCCTAAGATTTGTTTCTCTTTACCACAGCCCTAATTTTTGTTTGGCCTTTAGAATAATAACTTATAAAGTGAAAATCTTTGCCATCTGCGGCTACTACAAGAAAAGAAATCAGGTGGCCAGCTGTGATGAAGATACATTTGATGAGTCTCTCCAATGTTAGAAGGTAAAGTAGATTTTAGTGAGTAGGTTATTACAATCTTTATCTTATGTCATCGTATGATTGAAGATGTTATAATTTGAATTGTGTGTTTTTAAGAATCATGGTCATGATAAGGTCACAGGTTGGATGTCCAGGTATATGGGTCCTAGGTCATAGTTTGTGCATTTTCTTTTGTTTTGTGATTTTTTTAATTTTTATTGTAACCACAGTGTTCTTCCACCATAAATGACGGTTTGTTAATACAATTTAAAGGTACCGTTCTCTGTTTTTTTTACTATGCAATTAAGTGGATAATGATATTTTCTTATTCAAAACTTATTTTTTTTCTCCAAATCACAAATTGTCAAGTGGACTGTGAAGTATATCTTAGTTAAGAATTTAATTTCAGAGAACCAATCAAGTGAATCTAAGTAGTGATTCTTGTAAAGCATAGATATAGGTTGGATATTGCCTCTGCCACTTTGAGTTGAGCTAGAAAATGATATTGTTACTGTCAAAAGAACAATTCAAATGGATCAGCCAAAAATAAAAGGGTAGGTTCATGTTGGGATGCATGTATTGGAATTTATACATACATACATACGTACGTACGTACGTACGTGTGTATATATATATATATATAAATATTTCAATAGAGCGTAGAAATAAAAGGAGTGAAGGTGTACTATCAGTTTTTCAAAATTTATTGCAATTGTATAGCTTTCTATTTTTAAAAATGCATGTGTAAATTTTTTAAATGAAAAATTGCATTATATTTTAATTTAGTTTTAAGTTTTTTATAATTGAAATTTCATTTATATCAATATAAAATTCAAATATATAACCAGGCACATTATTCGACTTCAAAGACATGTGGTATATGGTGCAGTTTCAAATCCAAAACGTGACTCTTATTTTTAATTTGAATGTGTAATTTTAAAGTTAAAAATATGTTGTTAATCGGTGGAAGAAAAAAATCATCATGCCTTAATTAGACTTAAAACATATAAAAAATTGTTTTATCTAATCAATAGATACAATCATCCAAAACTATAAACTTGATTAAAAAGAATAAAAAGAAAACGGAGAGTATTTTGGGTTCGTTTGGTTTTCCTTCGTTTCACGTTCAGAAAAGTAAAATTTTATTTTCAAAAAATTGAAAGTTGTTTGGATAGAACATTTTACAGGAAAGCACATCCTGAAAGTACATTCAGATAGTAACTGAAAGTGGATTTCTGAAACATAACTATTTGAAACTTTTGAAAAGTGAATTTGAAAAATAAAATGTTATTTGACCATATTACTCTAAGTTTAATCTCTTATTCTTTTATTTAAAAAATAGTTAATTCATTAAAAATATAACTATTATTTTAATAATAATAATTAGGCATCAATTTTTTAATATTATAAATTGAGTAATTAATCATATTAATTTTTAGCATTAATGTATAATAAAAATTATAAATCTTTATTACATCTTTTAAAATTATAAATTAAAAAATATAAATAACTAGAGATCAAATTTTTAGCATTATAGATCAAAATTTATGTTATTAAAAATCTTTATTATATTTTTTAAATATTTTAAATATATTATATTTGTATAATAAAATTATAAATTATTATAAATTAATGTCCTTTTTGGTAATTGTACATTCAAAAGCACATTTTACTATCACAAATCAAATAACTTTCAATATATCAAACTGACTTTTGAAAAAATATATTCAAACACAAATTTCGTTACAACAACTGATTTTTACCAAATTAATTTTTATCAAATGAATTTTTACTAAATGAACTTTTAACAAACTGAAAAACAGACGCACACTTTGTTATGTCCTGACTCACTTCGTTATCATTTCCAAGAAAAGCAAAGTGAACATTGATCATTGATCAATTTAACATTGATATTTAGCTGGATTGATTGTTGTTGCTCAATTGTTTAAATGAAAAGAAATAAAAATTAAATAGAATATTCTAAGTGAATTTCAAACTTCCATTTATGGATTGAACTGGCTAGGATCTTTACACGCTGAAGCTCTACCACCAATAATTTCATAACTCGTCCTTGAGTGTGCTGACTAAGCTGGTAGACCTCTCGCTTATTTGTTGAATGAGAATATACATGAATTATTCTGTGTTGACAAAAAAAATAAATTAAAATACTAGATGTTTATTGTTAAAAAGTTTTGAAATATTTTTGCCCTTTAACTCTATATATAACTATCTGTAATAGTAAATTTTCATATTTAACTTCACTTATTTTCAATTTTATAATAACTACGTAATTAAAAAATTGACATTTCAAGTGCATGAAAAAGAAACAATGGTTGAATATGTTTATTTTACAACAATATTTGCTTCTTTTCTTCCTTTCAAACGCGCTGAAACATCAAGTGCAACGTGCAGGGGCAAGTCTAATTTTGTTATCTTCTCTTTCATGACAGAAGGTGCTCATAGAGTTCAGTCAATTCCACCTGTAAGATTAAATTAACCTTATGTTTATTATCAATTCATGGTGACTTTTTTTCCTTTTTGGTTAAAGATTAAAAGCAAACACTGTCTATATTTTATTGCCGGTCTCCAGATAAAGAAAGAAGGTTATGTCAAGTTTTCAATAATGAACATAAAACTTTATCAAATCTCACATAAACACGCACAATAAACGTTTTTGTTGTTGTTGTTGTTAGTTTAAGATAAAAGCTGAGGCCTAAGAATATTAGTTGGTGAGCAGAGGCTTCATTTCTATTAAAAATTTATTATCATACCACACATGACAAAATATAACCAACATATCATTTAATCACAAAGACAAAAATGTCAAATAATTGAAGAGAGAACATGATGAGGTGGTGCATATGAAATCTTGCCTTATCCGACAAAGTTGATAAGAGCCGACGTCTTTCGAGCTTGACGGGTTTCTTTTTTTCAAAACAGAAAAAAAAAAGGAAATTTCATCGTTGCTGCTTTTGATTTTGTAAAAGCATCAAATGCATCCCCGCCCACCGAAAAGAAAACGAAAAGTCGAGAAATGAGAGGTACAATCACAACAGTGCAATGTTTGTCGATTATAAAAAAGTTTGGCCCCACAATACCCAATAATTGTGGGCAATCAATTCTTTTGGCACTTAATAGATTCTTTTTATTTATATTAATATATAGATATTGATGAATATATTAATTTTTGAACTGCTTTCGAAGCCATGATGATATTTTATATATCACATATTTTATACTTTATATAATATACAGCCAGACAGTTTACTGGAATTATATTTTTCTCAGATTTCAATTTAAGAGTTATTTCCTGGAACCAAAGTGAACGACATCCGCCTATATATCCTTCACCCTCAGTTTCTTCTGCCGTCTTTCTCTCATTTCCTTTCTTCTTTGCTGCTCAATTCCTTCTCTTAGCTAAGGAGAAAACCATGGCTGAGTTGGTAGCTGGAGCGTTTCTGTCCTCTTCCCTTCAAGTGGCGTTTGGGAAATTGGCTTCTCGTGAAGTTCTTGACTTCTTCCATGGCAGGAACCTCGAGGATGGCTTACTGAAAAAGCTGCGTATCATCCTTCTGTCTGTGAATCAGGTTATTGAAGATGCCGAGGAAAGGCAGTATCGAAATCGTAACGTGAAGCAGTGGCTTGCGGAGCTCAAGGATGAAGTCTTCAAGGCTGAAGACTTGATCGATGAGATTGCTACTGAGGCATTGCGACAGAAACTGGATGCTGAATCGCAGACTCTGACCGGCAAGGTACGAGGTTGCTTTACTACTTTCATTAATGAAAGGCTGCTCGAAAAGAGCATAGAGTCAAGGATGAAGCAAGTGCTTGAGAATCTAGAGTATCTCATAAACCAAAATAAGATACTTGGATTGAGGCAAGGCCTTCCTCCTGGCACTCCGCAAGGAGTGAGCAGGAAAGGGCTCCACATATCGCCAACAACATCTTTAATAGATGAATCCAGTATATATGGGAGAGATGCTGATAGAAAGGAATTAATAGATCGTTTATTGTCACCCAACACGAGTGGGAATCGGTTTGACCTGATAGCTATTGTGGGTTTGGGTGGGTTGGGAAAGACAACCCTTGCACGACTGGTCTATGATGAGAAAAATATCAAGGACCAGTTTAAGCATAGAGCTTGGGTGTGTATTTCTGAAAATTCAGATTACAATCAAGCTATGGAAACAATTTTCAGAGAACTTAATCCACATGATGAACTAGCAAATAATTTTGATGGTCTTCAACGTAAACTAAAAGAGAAATTGACGGGCAAGAAAATTTTTCTCGTTCTTGATGATGTCTGGAATGAGAATAATCATTATTGGGAGGAATTCCAAACTCCTTTTAAAGATGTCGCTGTAGGGAGTAAAATTATTGTAACAACACGTAGCAAAAGGGTAGCTGAGGTCATGCACTATACCTATATACGTGATTTGAAGATATTACAACTTGATGATTGTTTGAAGTTATTTGCAAAATATGCATTTAATGACCAACATCATGTTGTAGATCAAATCGGCGTAGAAATTGTCAAGAAGTGTGGAGGATTGCCTCTAGCGATAAAATCATTGGGATGCTTGTTGTGCACCAAATCTCCTAGAGATTGGAAGAAGATTTTGAAGAATGATATTTGGAATTTGTCAGAGGATGATAGCAACATAATCCCATCTTTAAGATTGAGCTACCATTATCTACCTTCAAATCAAAAGCGTTGTTTTGCTTATTGTTGTATCTTTCCTAAAAATTATAACATTGACAAGAATGTTCTTATCCAATTATGGATGGCAAATGGCTTGTTGCATTCAAGTAATGAAATAAGAGAGAACCTTGAAGAAGTGGGGAATGAAATCTTCAATGCTTTGGAGTCCAGGTCATTTTTGGAACCATCAAAAAAAGGTGGTAATTACTTCATTATGCATGACCTTTTGAATGACTTGGCAAAATCTATCATGGGAGAGTTCTCTTTACATCTAGAAGGTGATAGGGCACATGAAATTCCAGCAAAAACTCGTTACCTTTCATGTGATGGTACAACAGTGAGTGAGAATATTGAGAATATTTTCACGTGCCATGAATTACATAATTTTCTCAACTTTGGTTCTCATCATATAAAAGGCAGTATGCTATCTAGAATTGCTCGTCTCAAGTTTTTGCGTGCATTATCTTTGGCAAAAAGTTGGCAGGTCAGAAAACTAAATAATGGTATTACCAATTTAAAGCACTTGCGGTATTTAGATCTTTCAAGGACTAGCATTACAAGGTTGCCAAATTCGATGTGCTCGATGATCAATCTGCAAACATTGAAATTGAAAGGTTGCTCTGGTTTGAAAATGTTGCCGCCAAAATTACACAAATTGATCAACTTACATCATTTGGACTTGGAAAATAGTGGTATAATAAAGATGCCCAAACATATGGGAAAGTTGAAGCATCTCCAAACGATGACACATTTTTTTGTGGGAAAAGATGAAGGTTTTCGTTTAAGTGAAATAGGAGCCTTGAATCATTTAAGGGGCATGCTAACCATTTTAAATCTTGCAAACCTACATGATCTTGATACAGGGAGTGAAGCAAAATTGAAAGAGAAATGTTTGGATAGATTGAATTTAAATTGGGGAGGAGTGGTAAACCGTGAAATGTCACAAAAACAAGAGCAAGTATTGGAAGCGTTGGAGCCAAATTGTAGCTTAAGAGAGCTCACTATTACAAAATATGGGGGTATTCGATTTCCAAATTGGCTTGATGATCCTAATTTCCACAATTTAGTGTCTTTATGTTTGAAGACGTGTACAAACTGTGAGACCTTGCCAATGCTAGGGCAACTACCTATCCTCAAGAGACTTGAGATTGAGGGATTTAATGGAATAAAGGTGATCGGCCAAGAGTTTTATGGGAATGCCTCCTTAAGTAATCCATTTCCATCCCTTACATGTTTAAGTTTTAAATCGATGAATGAATGGGAAGAATGGAACATATGTCATGAGGGTGCTAGTTTCCCAAAACTTAAAGAACTTTACATATCGGCATGTCGAAGATTGACAACGTGCCTGCCTCAGCACCTTCCTTGTTTAAAAAAACTACACATTTTTGCGTGCCCAAAGCTGGGTACTTTGCTTCCTAAGTCCCTTTTCCTCAAAAATATGGTTTTAGAAGAGATTTCTTTGGAGGTGTTGGAGCCAAATTGTTCTTTGGAGGTGTTGGAGCCAAATTGTAGCTTAAGAGAGCTCACTGTTGCATGCCATAAGGGTATTCGATTTCCGAACCAGCTTCGTGATCCTAATTTACTCAATTTAGTGTCTTTATGTTTGAAGACGTGTACAAACTGTGAGACCTTGCCAATGCTAGGGCAACTACCTATCCTCAAGAGACTTGAGATTTCGAGATTTAGTGGAATAAAGGTGATCGGCCAAGAGTTTTATGGGAATGCCTCCTTAAGTGATCCATTTCCATCCCTTACATATTTAAGTTTTAACTCAATGAAAGAATGGGAAGAATGGAACATATGTCATGAGGGTGCTAGTTTCCCATACCTTGAAGAACTTTACATATCGGCATGTCCAAGATTGACAACGTGCCTGCCTCAACACTTACCTTCTTTAAAAAAGCTAGATATTAGGGGGTGCCAAAATCTTGAGACTTCGCTTCCTAAGTCCCCTGTCCTCGAAATGATACATTTACGAGGGTGTGTGAAGATTTCAATGAAGCATATGCCGACATGGAGCTCCACAGAAATGCTTCCACCTCTTCATGACCTAACTTTAGATAGTTGTCCAGAGATGGAATCACTTCCACAAGGAGGTTTGCTTTCACATCTAAATCGTCTTAAAATTAGGCAATGCCCAAAAGTGATTGCTTCTGGCAAGGATTGGGGTTTGCATGAGCTGCTATCTTTGAAAGAACTTGAAGTTAGTGATGACTTTGAAGATGTGGAATCCTTCCCAGAGGAAGGATTGCTGCCACCCAATCTCCACTCTCTTGTATTCAACAAATGCTTAAAATTAAAAACAATAAATTACAGGGGCCTTCTCCACCTCCATTCTCTTACATCCTTAGAGATTTCTAGCTGCCCAAGTCTAAGCTTCCAAGACATGCCAGAGCAAGGCTTACCCAGATCCCTTTCCTATTTACATATTAATCAAGGTCGTCCCTTGCTTAAGAAGCGATGTAAAAGGGGGACGAGACCAGATTGGCCCAAAATTTCTCACATCCCTCACATCGCATTGCATATGTAATTCTCTACTTAAAGGTACGTTCTGTAAATTACATCCACGTATTTTTGTATCTGGTAATTTATGTATTAGTGTTGATTGTCTACTGCTTGAACAGCGCTGTAAAAGGGAGACAGGGCCAGATTGGCCCAAAAGTCATCCCTCACATCGAAATATGATAAACAGCAACACATATGTAATTCTCTGTTTAAAGGTACGTTTTGTAAATTACATCCATGTATTTTTGTACTTGGTAATTTTAATTTCCTGCCTTCATCTATTCACTCAACAACTTCTCGCTTATCTTTATTTTTTGTCCATAACAAATGACAACAATTTGCTCCAGAAACTTGCTGCGCTTTTCAATCAAGCATTTTCCAATAGCAAAGGCTCATGAGAACTGCTTCATAACGTCACATGTTGCTGAAGTTGTTTTCTCTGCATTTGATCTGTATGTTTAGAATTCATGATGCTCCCTCATTGTCTATCGAAAAGTCCCATTCAATTTTCCCTCACAATTAAATATAAACAAAAAAATAATTTGCAGAGACCTCTCTTCTCTTGGGAACATTGCCTGAAGGCTTCAAGGTATTTCGTCAAAGAGAGAACAAAGGACCGCACCCAATTTTAAGCAGAAATAGGAAGCTGTTCTGTTCTATTGGTAATTGATTCTTCTCAAAATTTTGTTTTGCATTACTTTAATTTCCTGATGCTTAAACATTTTATCTGTCATTTTTAAATAGGTTATGTTAATTCTATAAGTAAGCAAGTGCGCCTGTTAGTTCATCAAGAATTGAATCATATTAAAGTAAGGTTGTTCTGGCTCAATTCCAATTCACATGTTCCTGCAAGTATATATCCGTGAATGTTGTTTTAATTTGGACACAATAAAATGATTTCTTCCATATACATGTCCGTATTTTAGCTCATCGAAAAATGCAAATATATTGATTATCTTCGTTTATCATTCGGATGAGAACATGTCTCACTTAACCTTGGACTCAAGGTTTCAGCATTTGTTTTCTTGAGAGAGAGAGAGAGAGAGAGAGAGAGAGAGAGAGAGAGAGAGAGAGAGAGAGAGAGAGCGCACATATATATGTCCATATATGTCAACATATATACTGTGATTATGAGAACAAACCAAGCTATTTTAATTATTATTTTGGGGGTGTTAATTAGACCAGATTTTTCAAAATTCAATATATGTTGGTGAAGGCACATCAATGCTGGTTTTTAAGGCTATAAAGGTCATTTTGGTCAAATACTGAGGCTTTATACATGATTAGAATGCATACATTAAGTTCTCTCATGCATGGCCTTGTACATATTACTCAACAAAATGCTGATATTGATTTCCCTTTTTAATATTTTATCTTATTTTTAAATATAATCCTATCTATATAAAAAGAATAAAAAGGTCATTTTCTATTCCTGTCTTCTCTTCCATATGCTAAAGTCAATCTCTCCTCTTACAACAAATGAAGTCTCTCCTCTTACAACAAATGCATGGTAATTGCGTGTCTTCAAGAACTCTTTATATGCTTTTGTCCAAGGTTGACGATGTCACTACCTCAGCGCCTTCCTTCATTAAAAATTTTAGAAATTGAAGGGTGCCCAAATCTAGAGACTTCACTTCCCCTGGCCTCTACCATGGAAAAGCTGCGGTTAGAGATATGTAAGGAGATTTCAGCGAAAGACATGCCAACATGGTGCTTGACAAGCATGGCTTTACCTCTTTGTGACTTGACATAAAAAAATTGTTCGGAGATAGAATCACTTCCCTATGGAGGCATGCTTTCAAACCTCAAACATCTTCATATCATAAATTGCCCCAAACTCATTGCGTCTCGCAAGGATTGGGGATTGCATGAGATCCTCTCTTTGGAAGAACTTACCATTGGTGATGACTTTGAAGATGTGGAGTCATTCCCTGAGGAGGGATTGTTTCCACCCAATCTTCACACTCTTTCATTTGACGAATGCTCAAAATTAAAAGGAATAAATTACAAGGGTCTTCTCCACCTCCATTCTCTTAGATCCTTATCTTTTTGTCAATGTCCAATACTGAGTATCAAAGACATGCCAGAAGATGGTTTACCGGGATCCCTTTCTGAATTAAGCACCTGTTATGATTGTCCATTGCTTAAGCAGCGGTGCCAAGAGAAGAAAGGAGAAGATCGACCCAAAATTTATCACATCCCAACCATAAGTATCTGGTCATGAAGACTGAGTGAAGATGTAGACGCTGCCCCTAGATGACTCCTATATATGCCGTTATGTCTGGTAACTTTCTAGCAGTATCTCCTCCTTGATATCTAATAAAAGTCCTCTTTAATTTATTCATGAAAATGAAGTAGGAGCGTTATATTCTACGTGATGGAGCAGTGGCTTGATGGGGCTTCTGTCTCTATTAAGTTGGCCCGTTAATTTGTATAATTTCTTTTATACAATTATGAAATTTATATATTGGCATATCATCTTGACTTTTCATGTTTCACATTTGTATTTTCTTTTCAGGACAGGAGGTGCTCATTGTCTGTAGATGGATTTCATTACCATTAAAATTTATTTGATGGGGCTGCATATGTTTGTCAGGTTTGCTTGCCTGACTTTATCCAATTAATTATCTTCTCATTTATTGATAAAAGGCATATTTTTTTTAAGCCAAGCCAACAATAAAAGGCTTCTTTAGGAAATGGGGTTGCAATATCATATGCCACAAGATGGAGCTGAGGTGTGATGACCTCGTGCTACTGTAAGGTTGGTTTCTTGACTGCATTATCCTGTGAAACTATACCATTTCTCCATTTGAGTAATTATGCTTCTTGAATTTTCTCATTATTTCAAATTATTGCATGCCTAAGACCTTCCCATGTGTTTTTTTGGTAAATTCCTATTATGAGATTCCTCTGTTGTTGAGATTATTCCTTCATTGTTGTTTAATTTGATCCCACAATGAAATGAATTCTTCTATTACTTAAATATTCCTGAACATCCCACAGTGAATATATAATCTCTACTCACCATTTAGACGAGAATATGTCTCACTTGATGTGCAATAGTGTAATTACCTATAGCTCAAAATTTACCTCTTTACTTTTCATTGTAGATTTAAAAGAGATCAATGAAGGAAACATCTTAGAGGAATGAATGAATTAGAAGTGTAGACAAAAATATATTAAAGAAGATATTTGGTGAGGAGCCATTTTTCTCTTTTCAAACAGCGTTGACCTCAGACTTGATTCACCTTATCACAATTGAATTTTTGTTTGGCATATAGAATAGTAACTTATCAAGTGGTGCTTGTAGGAACTACACATAACAATTTTCTACACATTTCTGGGGAGGTGACTACAATTCTTGAATCTTTTCTCCTGACTGGAAGAGGATGAATGATTGGATAAGAAATTTTCACTTCATGTAGCTGTTCAAGGTCCATTTATCTTTTTAAGCATATCAACACCGTGTTATTTTTTGAGAGTGAACTCACCAAGTTGGGGGGCTTGAGGCTGTAAGGGTCCTTCTCAACCTCTCATTGGAATAACATTGATTAAACTTAAATGCTTTGCATTGCCATCGCATTCCTAGCTAGTATCGGGTCATATGTTACTTACAGGCAGCCAAAAAATAAAGCCTTCCATTTCATTTTGGTCACATAATGAAATTTGTTACTCTCTCCTTACATACAGTGTACTGCCCTGTGTGAAGAGCTTAATGCTCTAAATTTCGGTGCAGATTTCATTGGGTTCGCCGAAGGATACTTCTACATTAAGGAATGAATGGTGTTGAAGTGAAAATCAAAATCTGTCAAGATTGAATCACAATGTATGGAAGCACTCCGCTTTGTAGTTAGCTCTGTTGAACTGATGTGTCCTCAGCACTCATAAATTCAATTTCGCTTGACAGGAGAAAAACATTCGGATGAGAACATGTCTCACTTAATGTTGGACTCAAGGTTTCAGCATTTTTTTTCTTGAGAGAGAGAGAGAGAGAGAGAGAGAGAGATAGAGCGTGCGCATATATGTGTACATATTTGTCAACATATATACTGTGATTATGAGAACAAACCAAGCTATTTTAATTATTATTTTGGGGTGTTAATTAGACCAGATTTTTCAAATTTCAATATATTGTGGGTGAAGGCACATCAATGCTGGTTTTTAAGGCTATAAAGGTCATTTTGGTCAAATACTGAGGCTTTATACATGATTAGAATGCATACATTTAGTTCTCTCATGCATGGCCTTGTACATATTACTCAACAAAATGCTGATATTGATTTCCCTTTTAATATTTTATCTTATTTTTAAATATAATCCTATCTATATAAAAAGAATAAAAAGTCATTTTCTATTCCTGTCTTCTCTTCCATATGCTAAAGTCAATCTCTCCTCTTACAACAAATGCATGGTAATTGCGTGCCTTTATTAATCGTTATTTTATTTTTTTTTTTGAGAAATAACATCAAAAGATTTTTATTCAGCCTAATCTTGCATCAGTTTGAGATTTCAAAGCCTACATTCAATTTGCAAATTCGAAGAGCTACTTTGTCAAGGTACTTCCTACACCTACATTATTCCCATTGACCTAATTCTTCTCGAATTTCCATTTCTTTTCTCTGGTTATATATATATATATATAGTGTGTAGAATTATTAATAATTAAATAAACATGGTTTTGCGGAGACAACACTTGAAAACATCACTTGAAGGCCCATTTGTATGCATCTTCTATTCTCACTCTCACCAATGCTGCGTCACTTGAATTGCACACGGACTCATTGGTTGATTTTTTTTTTTTTTTTGCTGGAACATAAACAGTTTTTAGTGGTTATAGTACGTGTTAAAAAAAAAAATATCTTATGAGGTAGTGACCTGCTCAAACATATCAATTATATTATCACTTCTTAGTGCAATTCATAATGTCTCAACTAGGCTCTATTTGGCATTCTCATGGCCCTCCTTCCTTATTTGATAATATCTATTGTTATAATTATTATTGACTAAAATTTAGTGTTTTAACTTTTCTTTCAATTGTCAATTACTTTGGCAATGGCTCCCAAAGAGAGACAGGGCAAGATTAATTAACACTCACATTGTTATGTTGGCTTCATTTATATATGAAAAAAGAAATAGTATTTTGCTGACAAATCACACAAATGAATGACTCATCCGGATGTTGAAGATGCTGATCTTTAGTGATATATTGAAGCTATGCTAGATTAGATTCATTAGAAAGAATTACATCCCCTGTTTTCTTCCATACATATTCAGGAAAAAGCACAATCAAATATATTTTTTTTTATCAAATATTCAATTGAGAACATATCTCATTTGGTGTTTAACAATGAATCTTCCTTGAAATTAAGGGTTTCGTTTGCAAGGTGGCAAGCAGATTTTCAAAGAGTTGAAGAGGGGAACATCTTAGAGAAATGAGTGGAAGAATGAATTAGAAGTGTAAATTAAATAATTAAATGAAGAAGAAATTTAGTGAGGAAGCATCCTCCTTTCAAATTTGTTATTGTCATAAGATTTGTTTCTCCTTATTACAACCCTAGTTTTTGTTTGGCATATAGAGTAATAACTTGGAAGCCTTCGCGATCCATGACTACTACAAGAAAGAAGTCAGTTGACGAGCATCAACTCAACAAAGGAGTGAGAAAGAAAAATAAATGAAATTTTCAGAAATTTCAACAGTGCCAAATGTCAAAAGGTACATGACTATACATCAGAAGAGTCTCCCTATTGTTAGAAGGCAAGATAGATTTTAGTGAGTAGGTATTTCTTTCTGTTCTACTTCTGCTTTTAGTTTTTATAATCTTTTCTTTTACCTTGTTGTAAGATTAAAAATTTTGTGAATTAGAATTGTGTTTCTATGATCATGGTCATGAAGTTATAGGTCAGGTGTATAAATAGAACGATGCTAAGTTGTGGTTTGTACATTTTCTTTTCTTTTGTTTTTTCTTTTTTGGCAATATCTAATGTAACCACGATATTCCTCCACCATAAGTGAGGGTTTATTAATAAAATTCAGAGGTACCGTCCTCTTTCCTTTAATGACACAATTAAGTAGGAAACCTACACAATTAAGTAGAAAATAAGGTTTCCTTATTCAAAGTATATTCCATTTCTCCAAACCACCAATTGTCATATGCATTTTGCACTATGAAGTGTACCTAATGCCTCATGGATAATAGTTTAATGGTAATTCCTGACTTATTTGCAACTGCTATGAGATTGAGAAGCATAGAAAACAATATCATCTAAAATTGATTCTTTTATACTCGCATATTCAACCACATCACATAGGATGAAATAGAGTATAGGATATGCTTGGTTTTTATTTTTAAATTTTTTTCTGTTTTTAATAATAAAAAATTAAAAAATTATTTGGATAAGTATTTTGGATTTAATTTAAAAAGTGTTTTTAGAATTGTTCTTATTTTTTATTTTTTTTAAAAAAATGAAAACATCTTAAAATTGTGTTCATTTTATTTTTATTGTTTTTAAAAACATACTACATTTGATTATTAGAAAATGTAATTAGTTTGACAAATTTCTATCATAAACCATTACCGTTAACCACATGGTGCCATTACTATTTGCTTATTTTTTTAATTCTAAAAATTTTTTAAAATTAATATAGTCAAACATATTTTTATTTTAATTTTTTTAAAAATAATTATAAAAATTATATTATAAAACAGTTTTTAAAAATAAAAAATAAGACAAAATTCAAACATGCTCATGTTATCTTTAATTGCTCTTCAAATGAGAGCATGTCTCTCTTGGTGTTTCAAATAGTTTAGTGCTCGTTTGAATTTCAGTTGGATATAATAAATTATGAAAATAATTGATTAAATGATAGATTTTTATCATAGTTGATTATGTTATAACGCAATCTGTTTAGATATCATTTTCTTAAAATTAATTTTAACAGAATTAAAGATGTTTGGATAATTTAATCAGAATCAATTTTAACTATATAAATTACTATAACAGACATTGCTTTTCAAATTAAATTATTATAAAGATGATAATATACAAATTGATCTCTAATAACATTATGGATAAGTGCCATATCTAACGAAGATGTTAAGCACTGCCTTAAAATTTTGGCAACATAAAAAATGTAACAATGTCACAAATGATACAAAATTTCTCTGGACCTTTGCAACAATCTTTGTCATGACTTTAAATTTTAAATTAATTTTACTCTACTAATTAATATTTTATTTGAATTAGTTTTATAGTAAGTACTAAGTGAAGGGTGACGGTTAACAGGAACTAATGCTAGTAACTTTTTTGAAGATACAAAGTTTGAATTTTATTTTTAAAAAAAAGAGAAAAGAAGAGAGTTTGGTTTTATTTTATTAAATTATGTGCTTTCTTTATAATATTTTCTTCGGTCTTTCTTTATAATTTTTTCCAACACTTTTTGATAGCTTTTCCATAAAAGTTTGGATTGGCAACTTTCAGAAAAAAATTAATTTTTCTCCAAAAATCGATTAACCAAAAACTTAATGTTTGGGTAATTGAGGCAAAAATCAATTTTTTTTCCTCAAAAAATTGATTAACATGTTTATCCAAACACACACTTAATTTGAGCTAAAGGTTTCACAATTTATCTTCCTAAGCATATCTAAACTAGAGGGGCAAAAAAAAAGGGGGAGGAGGAGGAGGATCATTTCAAGTACCTATTTAGCACCTGTTTGTCTTCTAAAGTATGTGGACACATGTAATATATTAACTGTAATTCGTAATTAGCAACGGATTTCTCAGTTTGCATGAACTTTGAATTCTTTTACCATAAACAAGAACAATATAGAAGTTTGGACAAAGCCAACCCAATTTTATTGTAATCTAATGATCCTAATAATAGCTGTAATTAGTATTTGCTGAGTTTTCATGTGAACTTTGATACCGACAATTTTTATTTTGACTTGTTACACTAATAATCTCAATCTTGTTAACTGATTAAGTGAAGCCACCTTTAACTTTTCTTATCCCTTCGCTGTATCTCAACAAACACCTTCTGTGTTCCTTTTACTGAGATCTAAAATACCATGGCCGAGCTGGTGGCTGGAGTATTTCTCTCGTCTTCCATTCAGGTTGCTCTTGAGAGATTTGCTTCTGGTGACGTTCTTGACTTCTTTCTAGCAGGAAGGCACCGGAATGGCTTCTTGCTGAAAATACTTGAAATTACTCTTAAGTGCATCAACAAAGTCATCGAAGATGCTAAGGAAAGACAATACAGAGACCATTATGTGAAGAATTGGCTCGATGAGATTGCTACTAAGGCCTCTCAACGAAAGCTGCAACTTCAACTTCATCCCCTCACAGGTAACTTACACAACTATTTTAGTACTTTCATTGTCAATCCATTTTGAAAAGGAATTGAATTGAGAATCAGAGAATTAGTGGCTCACTTGGAATTCCTATTAAGCAAAAGGGACGAATTAGTTTTGAAGGAAGGCTTTAATTCGCACTCTCAAGTGGGAGTAAACAGGAAAGATTTCAAAGGATTTTTGGCAACGTCATTAATTGATGAAGAGAGTATATATAGTCGAGATTCTAATAAAGAGAGAATAATAAGGATGTTATTATCACCCAATGTGGGTGAGAATTGCGGCTAATGGATGTGATTTCTATTATCAGTATGGGTGGAATGGGTAAGACAACCCTTGCATGGCTTGTCTATGAAGACTAAAGGATTAAAGATCAATTTCAACACAAAGTTTGGGTTTGTATTTCTGACGAATTTGATGTTGGTCAAGCTACAAAATCAATTCTTCAAGAACTAGATTGTCCAACCAAAAAATCAGGTGATTTGACCTTACAACAACATCATTTAAAGAGAAGTTGATGGGTAACAATTTTTCCTAGTTCTTGATAATGTATGGAGCAAAAATCATTACAATTTGAAGATTGTTGGAAGTTATTTGTGAAACATGCATTTAATAACCAATGTCATGGTGAAGATGCAAATCTTCTAATAACTGGTGGGCAAATTGTTGAAAAGTGTAGAGGATTGCCTTTAGCTATTAAAACACTGGGAAGTTTATTGTACACCAAACCATCTCCTCGGGATTGGGTTAAGATTTTAGAGAGTGATATTTGGAATTTATCAGAGGATGATAGCAATAGAATCCCATCTTTAAGATTGAGTTACCATTATTTACCTTCAAATCTCAAGCATAGTTTTGCTTATTGTTCCATCTTTCCTAAAGATTATGCAATAGATAAGAATGTTCTAATCCAATTGTAGATAGCAGAAGGCTTATTGTATTCTAATGGAATAAGAGAGAGCATTGAAGAAGCAGGCATTTCAATGCTTTGGAGTTAAGGTCATTTTTTGAAGCATCAAAAGAAGGTGGTAATTACTATATCATGTTGGAATATTTATTTATGGATTAACATTAATTAATAAGCCCAAATAGATTGGTTTTTATGATCTTGTGTGGACCGTGATAGGTGGACCACACAAGTGAGCCCAATGGGCAGAGGCCTAATCTACAACCCAGTAGTCGTCAGTTATTTCATATCTCTTAACTGACTGAGTCAGAGATAATGAAATATAATTATTTAATTATTTAATAAAGCGGTTATTGGTCTATTCCTTATAAGTCGATCAGTTGATAATCACTATACACACGATACATTTTCTTTTGCTCCATTATCTCTGCACTCTCTGAAGACTATAGGGGTCCAGTGGGTTGTGCGTCTACCTATACTCGAGGTAATCGAAGTTTCACATTCAACCATGGATTCTTCAAGTATGCACATCACTATCCTTGAATCTTATTTGATTTATGAGAATTGAGATACTAAGATTAACACGTAGCATTAAAGTCTAGTCTTGAATATTAATTTGTATATCTCAATTCAACCTCTTGCGTATCATGTTGAATTTTGTTTTTCAACTTAATATGATCATATATTATTACTTGATGTTTGTTTGGATTTTGTCGTGAGTTTCTAATCTTAAAACCCTTGCCCACCGTGAAGTATCCCATCTTTTTTTCATTATTGCAATACTTCAGAATTCTTCATATCGTGTGAAAATTCTTTCAAAGCTTTCAAGCTCACTGTGAAGGAAATTGCATTCTTCACTGACCTGTTACTGGAGAATGAAGAATATAACAACTATGAATTCCTCGATATCAGCATTCGCCATTGTCAGTCGTTGGAAGTCCCTTTCTATTGCCGAGAATGCTGGAGAGCAGTGACAATATTGTTGTCGTGACCACTGGTATTAGATTGTTGCTAAGTTTCTAGAAAACATAGCTCCAGATACACTAGAGATGGTTGTCATAGACGCATCACCAGATAGGAGGTTGCTGCTGTGTTTACCGGTGAAGTCTCCCCTGTTTCTAGTTCATGACATTGTCCTCCCTTCCTCATGGCGTTGCTGTAGCGTCGCTCTATCATGGTCTCTGTCATTCGTGGCATGAGAAAGGATAAACTGAAGACGCAGCTTCAAGGCTGCCGGAAGTTGTATGGTACGTGGTTGTCTATAGACAGGGTTGTTGCGTGGTAGCTAGTGTCGCCTTCCCTTCCTCACGTCGTTGCCGCACTGTCACCCTCCTATGGTTTCTCTGGTTCGCAGCCAATGGAGAAAGAGGAGGAGCACAAAACGGGTCAGAAACCAGGTCCTAAGGATTCAGTTTCATTATGTTGGGTCCAGATAAAATCTAGGCTTGATTTAAAAAAATGTTTCTGTTAATTACGTTTTGATTCCAGGATAGAATTACCTCCTTCGTCCCTTAATTTCTAGAATTTCTGCCATGACCCCAATAAATTTCTTGAAATTATATTTTGGTCCCTTAACTTTTAGAATTACAATTTTAACCCAAATATCTTCCAGAATTACCTATTTACCCCTGGACACCTTTTCAAAATTCCACTTAAGTCCCAAACTTGTTCTCTAATTCCTAAAAGACTCTAAGGACTTTTAAAATTATTATTTTTGTCCTAAGGTCATAAAATTTATGACTTTTTGAATTATTGATAATGCTTAGGATCTTATAGCATTAATAATAGACATACCCCATAGA